ATGATAACTAAACACTACATAATATCCTGGACTGGATTTTGGAAAAGAAAAAGGATAGTGAAATTCAAATAAAGCCTGGAATATTAATGTATATATGTTGGGGTGGGGTTTTTTTTCTCTCTCAAATTTACTATGATAATGTAAGATGTGAACATTAGGGGAAACTGGCTGAGGGGCATATGGGAACTCACTACTATCTTTGCAACTTTTAAAAATCTAAATTCCTCCCAAAAAAATGTTTAAAATATCAATTGACCATGTATGTGTGGGTATATTTCTGGACACTCTTCTCTCTATACCATTGATCTAGGTCTATGCTTAGGCCAATACCACACTGTCTTTACACTTACACTAGGCCAATGCTTACACTGAGTTGAAATCCAACAGTGTAAGTTCTTCAAGTTTGTTCATTTTCCAAATTATTTGGCTCTTCTAAGTCTTTTCACTTCCATATAAGTTTGGAATTAGTGCAAGTTCTTATTAAAAAAAAAAAAGTCTGTTGGGCTTCTAATGAGAAATGAGTAAATCAATGTGGGGACAAATGATATAACATTATTGGGTATTACAATCCATGAAAATAATCAATCTCTCCATTTATTTAGTTTTAAATTTTCTCTCAGCAATATTTTGCAGTTTTCAGTGTCTTTATTTGGTTAATTTACTCCTAAGTATTTTATGATTTATGATGTTATTGTAAATGGATTCTGAAATTTCATTTTTCAATGTTTAATTGTTAATATGCAGAAATACAATCTTTTTGTATAATGGCCTTTTATTCTGGACCTTGCAAAATTCATTTTTACATTTTAGTTAATATTTGTAGATTGTTTTAGATTTTACATGTATAAAATCATATTGACTGTGAATAAAAAAACTTCTTTCTTCCCAATTTCAATGCCTTTTTTTTTCTTCTTCTTCTTCTACTACATTAGCCAGGACTTCTATTACTTTGTTGAATAAAAATGAGAACAGATAATTTTGCTTTGTTTCTGATGTTATGTAGAAAGCAGTGTTGACCAAAACAGTTGACTAGGTATTCTATCAGCAAAAAGGATTTATTCTGGAAAAAGGATTGCAACTGTATATGCAGACATGGTGAGCCATGTGCACAGAAGTGCAACAAGATAAAGCAGGAAGTTCTTTAACAGAGGGAAGAAGGTAAGGGGAGGGGCTATTATAACCATAGAGCTCTGTTGTAACCCTAGGGTTCTTCCTGTAGGGCTTTTGCAACCAATATAGGGTGTGAGAGCTCCTCCCACGGGCCCTCTAGAATCCAATCTTGGCTAAGTCTCTGTCATAAGTTTTGAAAGCACTAATCATAAAACTTTTAGAGATAGAAGTTACCATCTTGCTTGCTTGTTGAGTTTTTATCATAAATGGATGCTGAGTTTTGTTAAATGGCTTTTCTGCTTCTATGGAGATGATCATGGGTGTTTTTCCCTTCATTCTTTAAACATGAATTACCTGGATTGATAATCAGATGTTTAAATAAAAACTAGCATTAGTGGAATAAACTCCAATTAATCAGGACATATTTCACTTTAAATGTATTGCTGGATTCAATATACAAGTTTTTAAAGAATGTTTACATCTATAGTTATCATGGATATTGGCTTATAATTTCCTTTACTTATAATGTCTTCATCTGGTTTTGGTTTCAGGGTAAAACTGATCCAATATGATGAAGATGAAAATGTTCATCCTCCTCTACTTTCTGAAAGTTTTTATAGGATTAATATTGTTTCTTCTTTAAATTAATTTGATAGAATGGAAGCAGTGAAGTCCTGAAGACCTGGATTTTTCTTTCAGGGATGATTTTACATTATAATTTCTTTGTTATAGGGCTATTTGTGAGCATTCACTTCTTTATTTAGTTTTGGTAACATGTATTTCAAGGATATCTTCCATTTCATCTAAGTTGGCCAATTTTTAAAATAGAATTATTAACTTTCTTATCTTTTCATTGACTCTAGGACAGTGGTGTCACCTCTTTTACTTCTGTTAGTAATTTCTGTCTTCTCTTTTCCTTGATCAGTGTATCCAAAGACATCAATTATATTGGTTATTTCAACAAACCACCAGTTGTTTTCATTGACTATTCTCTGTTGTGTGTGTTCCAGTTCATAGATTGGCAAACATTTTCTGTAAAACACCAGACAGTTTTGTGGGTCATATATAGTCTCTGTTGCATAGTTTTTATTAGTTTTTGTTATGTCTTACAACCCATTAAAAATGACTCTTAGTTTAAGGGCTATATGGAAAAAGGCAATTAGCCTGATTTTGCCTGTAGTCCGATCCCTGTTCTAGTTCATTGATTTGTGTACTTACATTTATTACTTATATTCTCCTACTTACTTTGGGTTTATTCACTAATATCTTTCTATCTTCATAAGGTGGTGGAAACTTAGAAAATTGATTTTAGACATTTCTTCTTTTAGAATAAAACATTTAAAGCTGTAAAATTTTCTTTTGATCTGTTATACCCTAAGAATGCCTCAAATAGGGTACATTCAACTGTGAAGTGCCCAACTGTGATAAGAACTTGACAGAAATATGACATATAAGCAACTGAGTGACCATCAGCATATAAAACTTTAAATAAACATTAGCATATCAATAGCAGACATGATTAACATTTTAATCATTTAATTTGCAAACCAACTTAAGGCACATTTTCAGCATTATTAGGGTAGTTACATTTGTTTGAATTTTTAACTGTGCCTAAAAACTTTGAAATAGCTAAAAGTTTATGTGTAGTGTAATGTTTCAAAGTCCCTGGGAATCAGTCATGGTTTTTTGTGCAGTCTCTCAAATTTCAGTTGTTTAAAGAGCTTTCTTCTTGTTAAAGTCATGCACAGAATTAATTCCTTGATAGTAGGAGTGGTAATTGCTAGAAACATGAATTCTAATGATTGAAGGCTCTCTGAAAATATTACTTAGTTTCATATGAGGCATAACAGGTAAGCTGGACCTGAAGGAAATTCTAAAAGACAGGAGTTCACAAATTATTGGTGTGATTGCACAACCTGCATTATCATACAGTTTCTAATATGACACCACTGAAGTGCAAGGCACATGGATATTGTAGTTTCTGTTTGTTTAGAAAATTAATCTCACACATTCACATCCCAGCCCAACATTCATCTTCAAAAATGACTAATAAAAGAACTGCATGACTGCGATTCACTTTAGCTTAAAATCATTATTTGAAAGTTTAAAAATTTTAAATTTAAATTAATAATCATGGTTAGTATTCACTATTTTCAATTCTAAACATTAAAATCTAGGAAATATTTTATCTTAAAAAAATTAGGATCAAGCTCAAAATGGTGTATCAATTTCACCTTCATTCTAGAAAAAGCTTAAATAAATTTTCCATATCACTACCTCTTTTCATAATTTTACTTGACAATATTTATAACTTATATAAGGTTGGGTTATTGTATTTTTAAAAGGAAAGCATACCTTGGGTAATGACAGAATTTGTAAAAAAAAAAAAACTTATTTGTGGAAATAAAATAACAGATCAACAAAACAGATTAATTTTTTTGAAACTAAAAAATAATTAATTTGTAATGTTTAGGATGGTCACAAGGAAATTTACAAAGCAGCAAAACAGATATCCTTGCAATATCTCAAAAACCATAGTATCTCCAACAGCTTCTACATGAAAGAAACTGGAATCTAATAACCCGTTTAAAATGCATGTTTCTTGTGAATTTATTCAATGTAATGTAGGGACAGGATACAGAATACCATATACTGTACAATCAAATTAAATTAAATTCTGTCTGCAGCTGAAGTGACATGGCACCCGGCCATCTATGTCCCTAGTGGAACAGAATAGCATGGGGGCTAAAC